CCACCTTGCTCCAACGTCTCAGATCATCACCAGACGTAAACGCGGAGAAGAGAGTTCAGAAAACGCCTGTAACAGCCAGATTCAGATTATGTTTGCCGCGAGTTCCTGGCAAGACCAGGGGGAAAAAAGCAGGCGCGCGCGCGGCGCGCACGAGTTGAAAAAGTGTGGTCTCGGTACGTACTTTGGTCCAGTAACCTCGGGGGTCCGGTGAACCGTGTGCACGAGTGTTGGGCTTCTCTGGGTTACCACCATGCTACTCCTTTCTGCCTCCTGCTTTCTCCTGTCCTCCTCCTCCTCTTCCTCCTCCTCCTCCTTCTCCTTCACCCAGTCGGCAGTCTGCGGCGGCACACGCCCGGGCATGGAAGGAGAAATAAAAGTGGGGGAGAAAGACCCTGAGGGAGGAAAGAGGGAAATGTGAGGGGGGAAAAAAGATCCACAAAACACAGATAGTATTGATTTGAGAATGAATAGGCAAGAGATTTATAGCAGCGGCTCCTCTCGCTCTCAGGTTGTGTTCTTGTGAGCTCGGGAGAAGGAGGAGGAGGAGGTTTGGCAGAATGGCGTGGCACTAGATCTAGTCGCTGTGTATCATGTGTTGATGGTGGTGGTGGTGGTGGTGGTGGTGATGCTTGTGTTTGTTGTGCGTGTTGTTACTAGAAGTCCTCAACAGCTGTAGCCTATTTACACGACCGTCTTCGTCTTTTCCTTCTCTATATAGCAGTCCGCCCCCTGTCCGCGCGAAACAGGCAAACTGCTCTCAGTGTGCGTGTGAGCCTGTGTAGTTTTCTTCTAGCAGCGCTGTGTTTGAAGTGAGTGGTGATTCGCAGGGAAAGACATGACGATTAGACATGGGTGCTTGTTTGAGAATTCTGTCTGGAAGCAGGAATAATGACACACGTAAAGCTTTGTATGCCTAGCAGGAGACACAACAAGGAACGGTACGGGGAAGTAATGTAATGGCCTATATTGATACTATACGACATGCAGCATGACGGTTGGTTAAACAGGCGCTGTTTTCTAATGTGTGTGTGTGCGTGTGTGTGTGTGTGTGTGTGTGTGTGTGTGTGTGTGTGTGTGTTTGTGTGTATGTTCGTGTGTGTGTGCTCTATGAGGAACTTTCAACAATTGAATACGGGGCTGACATGCAGGCTCTTCTATTCTTTTTGGAAACGCGAACAATTCAGTCCATCCCGGTCAAAAGGTTTAAGGTGGGCGTTGTCTAGGGCCTATCTGTGGTCTAAGGTCAGCGCCTATAGTGGGCGTTGTCTAGGGCCTATCTAGGAAGGTCTGGTGAAATCCCCATGTCTGAGCTGCAGTCTGATGGTCTTGATCAATACGTTTTGTAGATGGCCAGACTAGGAAGAATCTGTTGGAGATTCTAGACCTAATACTTGACCCAAAGAGAAAAACACCCAAAACAAAACAAAGGAAATCAGCAATAACAGGGCTGTTGTCGATTACTCTTTATAATTATCATCCTTCTGCGTCCTCCCAATAGCAATCGCCCGCCGTCTAGATTTCTATACCCGGATCTGTAGACGTAAGTGGAGCGCGCACTTCAGTCTCAGGACCACCCATGATGTCGTCACTACCAACCACACGGTGCCAGATCTGAAACAAATTAAATATCGTCCGTCACTTTTCACCATTCATTTCTTTGCCCAGATTCTCTACTTATGAACATTTTGCACTCTACACTATCCTATATCTAGTCTTTCCCCGTAACCAAGCCTATTTGTTAAAGTTTAGCAAGTATATTGCCTTGGGTCTTCCTCTGCCTCGTTTGCTTTGTTTTGTCCAAGGGGCCGGGTGTTCAAAGCTTCTTGCTAATATGTCGATTCTCGTGGACAGAAACTGCATGTTTTGTTTCGTCTTTGTCGTAGTTTTCAGTGAGTGGCCCACGTCGGTTGGTTGTTGCAGTTTTTTTCAGTGGTCCTCCACAGCTCCGTCTTTTCCTCCGACAAAATTCCCTAGTCTCTTTAAAAAAACCCAAAGTGTTTCTGTTGCTTCCATTCAATTTTAACAATCTATGGGGTATTGTCCAGCATTTACAGTCTCAGAGAATGCTGGCTAATCACACATATAAATTATGGAGTCTTTTAGAACTCTTGTTTTATTCGTCATTGAGATTTTCTGGTGGTCATTGAGATTATCTGGTCGTTATTGAGATCTTCTGGTTGGTATTGAGATGATTTGGTAGTCATTGAGATATTTTGGTAGTCATTGAGATTTTCTGGTAGTCATTGAGATATTTTGGTAGTCATTGAGATTTTCTGGTAGTCATTGAGATGTTACTATTTCTCAGGATTGGACTCATTTTGTTGAACTTCCGTTTAGCTATTGCAGTTCATCGTTTTATTTCTGTTGAGCATTGGGCTATATTTGCAGCTATTGATATTTATTCTCTATTTAAACTTTTGAACTTAAAATTTTTTTTTTCACCTAGCTTATAATAATATAGCAAATAAGATTTCTGTTTAAAATTACCTTTTCCATTCACTTTCCTCTACAGCAGTACCTAAAAGCAATTGGAAGTCTTTTTCTGAACTTGCAATTAAATCTGTATCATCGGCACGTCTGATGTTATTAATTTTAATATTATATTCTCCATCTATAAGTCTATTATATTCTCCATCTGTAATATATATGTGTCTCCATTCCCGTTGAGACCTGGACTTCCTTCTATAATTTATTCTTGTGATTGCTTCACTATTAAAGAAGTTAACTCATTTACCACATTCCTATCCTCCTCATCTTTTAATCTGCGTTTTACATTAGCTGTACTCTCCCTCAATTCTTCAAGTACAGTTTTGGTACAAATTCCTAACAGGTCTTAGAGCCTATGTCTAGGTCTTCCAACATTGTCAAAAGCTCATCGTGTCTACCTTGACCCAGAAACTTCGTATAATCAGTGAAGCGAGATCTTTCTGTGTTCCACTGCATACAGGGTGATCCCCAAAAAAGTTACACAACTTTGTTTTGTATATTTTCCTCCATACTGAAGTTTTTCGTCTCAGATTTGAACATAACATTCTGAACGCCATTTAACACGCAACACTTCGTTCGCAGAGTCTGAACACGTTTGTATCAAATGAATGTAATATAGGACAAGAAGTGTTCTTTTTAAAAAGTTTTTTCAATTTCCAACAAATGTGAACCATTTTGATCCCACACTTATACTGATTTCGATTCATTGTCCTCCTTCTTTCGGAGTACTCCCTGAAGACAAATTTGCAGATAAACACAAATCTAAACTCAATCCTTAGTTAATTGTATGGCCATCATTAACATTTATACAGACCAAAATACGACTTCGCATGGATTTTATAATATTTTCAATGTTTTGTTGAGAAAGTCAGTCCCACTTTCGCAGCAGCACAATTTCCCAATAGCTGTAGATTGGCAAAACGGCACACACTTTGCTGTTCAGTTCATCCCATACGTGCGCTGTTGGAGACATGTCGGATATGTACACTGGTCAGTCCACGACATTCAATTTTATGATCTTCCAGAAACTGTGTTGTTTGTTAAATGGGCAGTGTAAGGGTAGGAGTGTCGCGTTGAAGGACAGAGAGATTCTGATTTTTTTTTTGTGCTGTTTGGCACGGTGAAGACGGCGCTGTTGTTGCGGCTTTGTTAATGCCGTCCTAAATAAGACGTTCTTCATCTATAGTGCGGTCAAAAATTCGTGGTGCGACTTATTTTCAAATTTCACTTCAACTATCGAACATATGTTCTCCAATTTTTGCACAGTGACTTGTATCAATTTGCCTTAACAGATCAACATTTTTGTAAACACCTGCAAGCTGTATTCTAGAGAATTCCTTAATAAATACGAATAAAAATCCAAAAGGGTGTTTTTTAAAACAGATTTTTACATGTTTACAGCTGGGGCAATATAGCTTTTAATACCAAGTCCGTCAGGTTTTTCTAATCGGGACATTATGCTTATTGAACGCATGTTTAGAGAGCCATTAGTGCCAAAATGAATGTGTTCACTATAACAATAATTTCTTGATACAAGTTTTGCAAGTAAAAATTGTCTTTGATGAGCTGTGACGTTGGTCATATACGTAATCAAAAAGTGTGTGAGAAGCGGGAAGTGCTGAGGACAATACCATTTTACGCTTGACAGAGATTTTAAGTAGCCTATTTTATTATTATATATAAATTATTCTAGAAAAATATGATTTAGTTAAGACAAAATGATACAAACTGCTATGCAAAGTATGGATGACATGATTCACTCGTTAAAGAGATATTTGAGGATAAGTTGCACAACCAATTTTTGACCTCAGTTTAAGTCCTGCACTTACTGCTCCGCGCCACTCATAGATGAAAGAACATTTTCACACTCTCCATGCATGTCTTGAGCTGTTACTTTTGACTTTTGACGAGAAACGAAACGATTTCGCAGACGTGATAGCAAAACTGCCTCTCTTGAACAGGGCTGGTCACATTAGACTGTCCAATTCTTTGCCCATCCCAGACATTTGAAGTGTGCTGAAACCTTTGTATAAGTCGAGAACAATACAAGCACTGCATTTTAGTGGTATTTCTGCATCTCAGGCAGATTTTCCGCCTTGAAGAAGGCGAAAGCGAAAGTTGCGATCAGCTTCGTTAAGTTGAGGCGTCTTGTAAAGAAAGAAATTTTTAAAAAACATGATCGAGAAAAAGTTAGTACTTTTGTTTGGAAAGAGCTACGGGTCATCTTTCAGGTAAAAAACAATTGTATTCGTTTATAATATAGCAACTAATGAACACATTTTACTAAAGTATAGGTTACTGTATTGTGATGAAAAGTACTCATAATAATAATAATAATAATAATAATAATAATAATAATAATAATAATAATAATAATAATATATAACATTTATATAGCGCATTTCCAAAAAAGTAGCTCAATGCGCTTTACACTGGAATACCCATTTTTCAAAAACCTTTCTTACTACTTCCTTTCTTCTCATGCAATATACATTAATGCACACACACACTCTCTCTCTCTCTCTCTCTCTCTCACACACACACACACACACACACACACACACACAAACACACACACACACACACACACAGACTATTTTCATCCAGACATAGGAACAGAACAAATATAATGAAAGATAACGTTAAAAGCTTATGAAGGATAGGCCTGTAGGAACAGAAAATGTTTAAGATGTCTTTTGAAGCTATCAAGTGTTCTTATTTGTCTTAGTTTCATGGGTAATCTGTTCCACATAAATGAACCAAGATATGAGAAAGATCTCTCTCCATATGATTTGTATGATTTTACAGGTGTCACAAGTAGGGTGTTATCGTTTGATGATCTTAGGTTTCTCCCTGGTTTATATATACTGATAAGTTCTTGTAGATAAAAGGGAGCAGTTTTATTTACACATTTGAAACACATGACGCAGATTTTAAATATTATTCGTTCTTTTACAGGGAGCCAATGCAGTTCTTTTAATAATGGAGTGACACGGTCTCGTTTTTTAGATTTGTTATCTTCTAGCGGCATTGTTTTGAATTACTTGTAAACGATTAGCAAAATCCGTGCATAGGTGTGTGGAATAACAACTGCTCACTTGTGTCTCCAAAAATTGTTAAGATCAAAGCATATTTGGCTTTTTAAATAACTTTTTGAAAACGTTGCGTTTTTAAAGGCGTTCAGTATATTTAGAGGCCAAAAGGAATTTGCTTGGTATTCATTTCAGAGAAGTCTATTAAGCGGTTTTGCTCTATATGGTGCATTAAAAAACCCATTTTTAACCTTGTCCTCGTTTTCATAGCAGTGCGCACCTGTTTTCATTTGGTCCACCTCTAAAAGTTGCAGCAATCGTGCCATATTGTAAGCCACAGCAATAAAAAAAAATCAACAGAAGTCTGCAGACATAATTTTTCCCACATTTCGTTTGCCTGCTGAGATCAATGCTAAGTTTAGTAAACAGCAGTA